TTGGTTAAGAAAATCACATAACTGTTATAATTTAATTTATCCACTTTTGAGGCTATTCAACTCTTCTTTTCTAAAAACTTGGGACCTTCTAAGTCTCCTATTTATTCTTTCTTCACTTATTATGATGCCGTCACTGAGTAGAAACGAAAGAATTGCATGTCTTGATTGTGGCAGAGATTACACTCGGTTACATCAAGACATCGTAAGCACTGTGGCGTTTTAAAGTGTTCCAATTGAAACTTTTATAAATATAGCAGCGAGGACCTCACTAATCATTTAAAGAAGAAGCATTATTCTTGTGAACATAATGGTAAATTATGTGCTCAGCAGTCTCCAAACAGTCTTCAAAAAAAATTAAAATATTTGTAATAAAAAACTTAGGAGAAAATACTTCTGAATCTGAAAAGTCTATACAATAAATTTGAAAAAACTCTAGTAAAATTTATAGAGTTTTTTCATCACTATTCTTGATCTGTCATTTTTTTATTCAAAGGTTCTGGTTGATGATAAAACCAACAACAATTAAGTTCAAATTCGATCCGAACATTTTAAAACTACAGTAAAAAAAAACATTGGTTGCAAGCTTGCGGTAATTTTGTAGAAAAGAGAATAACATATGCTAATGACTGCTTAAGTATTGGTTGAAATTTTGTAACAAACTAGATATTTATAAAATATCGACTAATTGAAAGGTTTCGCCTGGTTACTACTTTAAACTTTCCTTGTTTAGTGCTTGTAAAAGTGTTCATAGAGTAGTACACTTTAAAGCGGATAATGAGTTTTGATTTTTTCAGAATTAAGGTTTCCTGCTGTTTTTTTGACGATTGCAGAAAATAAATTCATAAAAGACCTTGAAAAGATCAAAAAAGTATATAATCTTGCTAACTTTTGAAAACTTCAACCTATTAAAACACATTCTCAACGAAAAATTTACTTCAATTTTGAAATTCAGAGTTGAGACAGCAACATACAGTTATCAGGTTGGGAAGATCATTAGAAAATTTTGAGAAAAAGATTTATGATATTGATTCTGCTTCGGATTAATGAAGGTTCGTTGAAATGATACATTTTTTCATCTAAAATTCAATTTTCAAGTTAACTTTTGTTCAGATTCGATTGAGTTGGAAGATACTAGATGCAACAGAAACTGAGAAGATATCAAATTGGGATAGAAACTCAATTTAATTCATTAGGATTTTAAAGATAACTTTCATAAAATTTAGCTTGTAAATTACATCTTGTGACAAAATCCAAATGAAAGTGTAATCTTTGGGAAACTTTTTATCATTCGATATAGTAGGTAAACTTATAAGAACATCCAGATTTTTTGAGAATAGTTTTTGTGAAGTAAGCCCAAATAGCTTCCAAGTTTTGTGAAGTAAGCCCAAAACCTGGAAGATGATACTTGAAGCACAAATCAAAAATTGTAAGATCGGGCGCCGAAAAATTTTTCTGAAGCTTACCATCTGAAACCTTACCATCTCATTAAGGAAACCTGTTCCCTATCTTAATGCATAGAAAATCTAGTCCCTATATACTACGTAGGTTGGTGACCGGATGCTCGATTCCCTATCTTAAAACATGGAAGTCACCACCGCTCCTGGACGGTTTTGCCCCGACATATACTACGCAAATTGTATTTTAATTGGAATCATGTTGAGACAGTGATGAAAAATTTTGAATGGAACCGACTTTACTACTAATTTGAGCTTAATTTTCAACTCTACACGTATGTATAACTTTTTAATTAGATTAGAAGCAACAAAAAACTAGTCAAAACGTTGAGATTTCGGCAATTCGTTCTAAAAACTTGAAAATTCCGCAATTTTTTCCGAAAACTTTGAAATTTTTGCAATTTGTTCCAATAACTTGAAATTTTTTACAGAAACTTGGCTTTTTTCGAAGTTTCAGTAGTTTCAGCGTACTTTCAGCTAGACTGAGTACTAAAGAGTGTTTGAAAATTGATATCATGTGTGTTTAAAAAGTGTTCTGAAAAAGGGATCACTCATTGAAAAGTAGTTCTTAAGTCAAAATATATCAAATTTTATCGTGTTTTGAAGTTTTTTGAAAAAAAAAATTCATTTTATTGGAGAAAAAATTCCAAGTTTTTGCACATCATATCTTTGACTTACCATGAGCCAAAAAACATCATTACACAATCTACACGTAATACTCACCAATAACATAACGCGTGCCGAGACTTTGGCGAAAAAAAATCTAGAAATTTCCACACAAAATCAAAAAAATACCGTTTTTCTTACCATTCTCTTACCATCAGACTGAAACCTTACCATACCTTAATGCGTTCTTATTTTCCTACACTGAATCCTTATATATAGGGAAATCTATACACTATCCTAAAACATGGTAAGATTGGGCGCCAAAAATGTTTGAAACTTACCATCACACTAAAACCTTACAATCTTAATACTTTAGGAAACCTATTCCCTATCATAATACATAGTGAAATCTATTTCCACGCAACACACCAGAAAAATTCACCCGTTAGGCAACGCGCGCCGAAAAATTTTTGCGAAAAAACTAGACATTTCCACACAAAATTCAAAAAATACCACTTTTCTTTCAATTCTCTTTCCATCACTCAAATCACGAAACCTTACGAATTGTATTCTATATCTTAAAACATTGGGAAATGTTTTCCCTATCTTAATGAGTTCTTAATTCCCTACAATGTATTAATACATAGGGAAATCTATACGCTATCCTAACACATGGAAAATTCGGGCGTCGAAAAAACTTACCAACTGAAACTTACCATCTGAAACCTGTTATCTTAATACACTGGGAAACCTATTCCCTATCTTAATAAGTAGGAAATATATTCCCTATCTCACTACATATGTTGGTGACCGGATGCTCTATTCCCTATCTTATTACATAAGGGGCAACAACCACCCCCCCCCCCCCACCCCCACTCTTGCTCACTTTTCTACTACTAAAACTCATTGAAAACATTGCCTACTGGATGCAATTGATCAATAAATCAAAACTTGACAAAACGGTGTATGTCAACAAAACAGCTGCAACCAAGAAAAATTCATCAATTTGAATTCCTATGATGAATTGATGAAAATTTTCAAAATGAGGAGTTCAAAAAAACCTCACGATGGGCCAATAATACTTGGATTTGTTACCTTAAAAAAGCAAAACAGTGATTGTTGTAGTTTGAATATGATTTTCCAGGAATTCTACGTCCATTGCCAAGTAGAGCTTTCGAAATGGAAACTGATTTCAAGTCATTGGCTTTGACAGCTTCAACAATCAATGAGTGTATCAACACTGAAGCGAACAATATTTTTTCTGAATGAGTGCGAATATAATGTAGCAATGAAGAAGGTTTGCCAAGTTAAGTGTTTAAATTCTTACCGCGCTTTCGTTGCGAGAAACATTGAACTTTTGATAGTAGAACACCAGGTTTCTTCGAAATGGAATGGAACAGAAATGGTATGGTTGAATAGTTAAACTTATTGCGTTTTTAATGAAAAAAGGGATTCACTCGGAACGAGTCAAACAGAAACATTAGAAACCCTCCGGAAAAAGAACATGAATAATCTACGAAGGAACAAACCATACGAGGGGGCAAATTGGGATTTTCGACTAACTGTTAATCAGATAAAAATATACGACTAAATTAAAAGTTCTATTACGTATATCATTTTCAAATGTCGTGTCTTTAAAGATCACATTTCTACAAAAACAATAATTTTGCCAAGAAAACTATTAAAACTTTTAAAAGCTATTAAAAGCGTTTTTTGCTTTTTAATACAAGTCATTTACTTTTGCAACGTTTTCTATGAGATTTCTTTTGAAGTTATGAGTAAATTTTTATTGATCAAATTTTCACTGCTAGAGAGCAACTTAAAAACTTTTTCATTGGAATTCTAATTTAATTATAAAACTTTTTTGAATTCAGATTATTGCTAGTACTTGTTCAAAATAATTTTCTAGACAAAGACATCAGTTTTTTTGAATAGCTTTGAGGCGTTTTTTCTTTTTTTTTGTGAAGAACTTGCTTTTGTCCCACTTGCCTCCAAGTGACGACTTTGTAGTGGAGTTTTCGTAATAAAAAGTTCGGCAAAACAGGCTCGTCATGTAATTTTGGCATAGCTCTTTTGAAGCTTTCTCTTTAAAATACAAAACTATTTTTCAGGGAAGAAAACACCGAAGCAAGTTAAAAATTACTGAGAAATTTTTTTTCGAACATGAAAATTTACCTTCAATTGATAACAAAAACAACCTTTACAAATTGAATCGCATGGTTATTTTTCGTTTTCATCAATTTTTTTGACTTTTTAGTAGTCTGAATAGTAGCCTGAAACGTTTGATGCATCGTTGAACATTTGAAACGTGGGTGAAGGATTTCAAATTTCGTTAAAACTTCGGGTGTCAGTATCCATACAATCGTCAACATTGGGCTTTCGACAACTCATTTTCTTTAACTTAACTTGAATAAAGAACTAGTAATTTAACTTTACTCCAGAAAATTGTATCGGCCAGTTGAAATGCAAAAAAAATGATATTTTTCAAAGATCGAAAATGATTCGTAAAACAGTTGGTTTTCAAGTTAGATTTTCAACACACACGTGAAAAATCATGTTGGTATGGCTAAATGTTACCATTTCAGTTGTTATAGAATTTTCTAATCAAAATAAGTCATAAAAAAATTCAGATACTTTCATCGATACTTATTTTTTTTAATTTTTAAATTACTTTCTCAATTAATGGCGCATATTCAAATAATAGGAAAGGAGAGTGGAAAGTGATCAATTATATGTGTATGAAAATTCTTGACTGATCTAGAACATTTAATCACTATTTTGAAACGTTGTTGAACAATCTAGAATATTTTGCTCCTGCTTTTTTCCTCACCCTGCTCAACCCACCCTCCCCCCGATTGTGAGCTGCATAAACTGCTATTACTCCCGCTGAAAAACCTGATAACTAAAATCTACTTTGGAAATTATACTTTTTCATGATAAAAAAATTATCAAGGCCTATATAACAGTCTTCACTATATTTATAGACCCACAACTAAACAAAAATTTTTATTCAACAGAAGTAAAAACTTAAATTTTAAGTTATTTCAGGAGTTTTTAGTCGTGCGATCCAGAAAAGTCTTCGCGTCTTCTCGGTCTCAGTGCATTCCCATCCGGATATCTCTTCCTGAAGTCCCTGATCACTTTCGGGTCCATGAGGTTCACTCCGTCTGTCTGATTTCCCAGTGTGATCCAGTTGGGTCTGGTGTTATGCATGCGGCCGAACAGCTCCAGTTTGCGAGTGCCGGGAGAAAGACGTTCCAACAGACCATAGATCTAGAGCAAGAAACAACTCGTTTTAAAACTTGATAGAATAACTTGAAAACCAACACTGTCGTTACATAAGCTTGGAGGATTTGAATCTGATTTTCAATTGCATTAATAATAGAAATAAATACACACAAGTTCTAAATAACCTCGTCTGGCTTGTGTGATGTCTCCCTCACTTCGGAAATAAGAACATCTGTGTCCAAACATCTGGTGTGACCAGCTGGGTTTTCCTTAATTCCCACCAGGCAGTGCTCTTTCCCGTGGTTAATCCAGTGCCCTATGAAAACACATTATTCTTTTTTAATAAGATCCAATAAGTTCCAAAAGATCCTTCGGGGCCTCCAATCAAATCAAAAAGAGTCACTTTAAAATAGTCTCTACTCTATGATTAAGACAAAGTTTATCAGGAGGAGAAATGGGGAGAGCTCGTAAAATGAACCAAAAACTCTACAAAAAAGAGTAAAACATGTGAAACAATAATCAGTTTATAACAATTAAGCGAGATTTGAAAAAAAAATAAGCCAGTGAACTCAATCAAAACAAAAAAACGACAAACACCTGTTCGTCCAGTTCGAATGAGTTTTCCCAGTTGGTTGATCTTCACCCAAATCAAATCTTCACACCTCGTATACCCCCACTGTTTCAAACACTCCCTTCCGATCTCCATAGCCCGCCCAGTTACCCAGAGAAAAATGAAACCCTCTTCTTGCAAATGAGGAATGGGCAGAGCTATCATTTCTTTGTCAGACATAGTGCCGTAAGGTAGTTCCATATGAATGTCCCAGGGTGGATCGGCCATGATAACTGAGAATTTGCCCAGGCACGTCATGTCAAAAGAACGGACATCGCATTGGATCCACTGAGGCGGGTAGATGACAATCGATTTGTCGGGAGCACCTGAAAAATTGAATCACTTTTATTTCACTTCAAAATTGAACTTTGCACCTTTTGCGATACCAAAAATGAATGATTATGATTAAAATCGAACGAAAAAACTGAATAAAAAAAATCTCAAATCGTTTTTGTTAATAAAAACTATAAAAGATGCAACAAAAGCCCCAAATATCCGGAGCAAAATTACCTTCACCATTATTAACTTTACTAAGAGCTTTCAAATGCTAAAAAGAAGCTGAATTTTTATAAGGTTTTTTTTGAGGATCTAAGTCGACAAAAATAAGCAGACAGACAATAATCCAAATAAGTCGAAAACTTGCTATTTGCAAAAAAAGACAGGTCTCAACTGGAAATAAACTCCCGCACTTTTTTGTCTCAAGCCAGTGCGTTAGAGCAACATGGAAGAAAGCTTAATCTTCAAAAAAAATTCGGGCTGCGGGAACGAAGCCGACAAAAAGAAACTGACGGACGATAATCCGAAAAAGCATTAAGACTCCAGTTTGCAATTTAAAAAAATGGTCACAACATCAGGATTCCAACCACAAGCCTTTGTCATATCCAGCAGTTGCTTTACCTCAACGCCATATGCGCCGGATGTTTGAGTGGAGTTGAAGTTATAATTACCAAGCGTTGACAAAGCCGAAAAAACCTGAGCAGAAACCCTTCAATGCCGCAAAAAAAATGAATCCCTTTTTTCTCAGAACACACACAAGCACACAACAACATTTTTCGGCATTCGAGCGACGCAAAAGAGGCCACTGAGACCTATTAAGCCGGGGAAAAAATGAAAATTTTACATATCGATTTGGTGAAATTTTGATTGGGCCGGATATTTTAAATGCTAACACGCTCACATGTCTGTTGCAAAAGAAAAGCCCAGTAGGTGAGTCCTGTGAACAAAGTTATTTTCGGGGAAAATTGTCTAGTAACCAATTGCAATACCCTTACTTAACGCTAGGGTAAATAAAGTCATTGAAATAGAAAACTTACTTCTTTCAACATTTTTCCGATCTCGATCCATGAACTTTTTCAGCTCATGTTCATTCAAGTCCAATTCGTAATGTATATATTTGCAAGTTTCCATGTGAAAACAGGTGTTCAAGAAAGAACAATCACCCAACTTTCGCTCGGTTGACGCACTGTTCACGGGCCTATAATGCAGTTTATGACAAAATGTATATTTAGTAGGACTCTTCGCTTTGAATATTGCAATTCTTTGCTGTCTTTTACATTCGAACAAAGTTAAATATGTACAGAATTCGATTATTCTCTGTTTCTGGCATTTGAATTTTTCGAGCTGCATCGTTTCTTTCGCTGTTGGGGTTGAGATTAAATCATGAATTTGTCTCGCTGTTTCGTGATGCTGACGTTGTTTAAAGCTTTTATGAGCAATTAGCTCTTGTGCTTTATCTTTCCAGTAATCGACATACTCATTTCTAGGCGACTTCGGTGGTATATCTGGGAAAACTTCGGTCAGTTTCCGTTTTCCAGAAAAAGACATATCCACTTCACTGCTAGGCCCTGTATCGTCCAAGTTTTCTTCTTTGTATTGATAAACATCTCTCAGTGCGAAGAAGTTCACAAATGTAACAACTCTCAAATCCTGATGAAACTTGAGCAAATTTTGACACTCTAACTTTTCTAAAGTTGAACAAACCTTTCCTTGAAGGTTGGAAACCTCGATTCTTATGGTTTCCTTGAAGTATCTACAAATATCCTCGACAGATATAGGCAGCTTCAATTCGTCTTTCAGTAGGTAACGCATCAAATCCAGTTCATTTTCCATTTCCAGAGGATATGACGTTACTTTGGGGATTTCAATATTTTCATTGCGTAGCTCTAAATCTTTGAAGTCGTCAGGAAAAAGCTGGGAAACGAACTTCAGACTTTCGTTCAATTTTCGCTTCGTATTCTTGCACGAAATCAAACGATCACGTTTTTGTTTCCGTCGGTCACAAAGTTCTTTCCAGTTATCAGTCATATACATGAACTGAAAAAGCACCAAATGTTGAAGCAAAGTCTCTCTAGAAGGATTAAATAAAGAAGCACTCAGTCGGAGAATAGTCAATGCCGTCCGCCTTCTCATGGGGGAAATGACGTTCAATTAAAAAAGTTCCAGCTATCTCAATTTCATAAAGCTCGAACAATTTCTGTTTCACAGGCGACTCTCAAAACAGATTTAAAAAAAAAATTGAGGCAATGAGTAGCTTTGCACCACTTGCGATACAACACAATCTGGCAATAAAATAAGTCCAAAAAAATTTAAAATTTTGAAAAAAATGGATGAACCAAACTTTTCGTATGCCTCGATGAAGTACACTTGGGGCCCAGCTACATCTGGAGGCAAGCGTTTGATACTTTCTGAATTTCTTATTGTTGGAGCAAACAAAGCATGTTTTAAATGGCAAGATAGTTTGTTCACATGTAATCTCAATTAAAAACGCATGTTAGTTTTCCCATAAATTATTTATTTCATTTACCCGCAATTTATAGCAACTAAATCATCTTTCATTCAATTTTCATACGATACAGTCGCTTTCCAGCTATCGCGAAGTATTCATTCTCGTCCGCCTTGAAACCTAAGGAAACTAAGCACACTTGCTGAGCCTACTACAGAAAGTCAAACTCCATCAGCTATGGAGAAGCTTAAATGAACCCAAAGCTGTCTGCGAGTTCTGAAACGGCAAGTTTCTCAAGTCAGCGACCTTTGTGCTAGCCTCATTCGTAACCAAGACGAGTTGAGCGCTGAAACAACCAAGCTTGGGCATTGTTTGGCTCAATCCTGAAATGCTGATCACGAGCTGCTTGACGCTATCACTGATGATGCAAAGTACGATCAAGTATTTGATCAATGTCAGGAAACACAGAAGGCTGCTCGCCAAACTCTGCCAGCCGCAAAGAGATTGATAGCCGCATCAACCCTGTTGCAACTATTCAGATTGAACCTACAAGGATCACACCAATGTTGCCGCATATCAATCTGCCTAGCTCCAGTGGCAATTTCACTGCCTGGCTAAGCATCATTGATCAGTTTAAAAATTGATTTAACCGGCTATCGCCGGTTTAAAAAGTGATTTCTCTCAAGAGTTATTTCACAAGCCATACTTCTAAGCTCATCATGCAATTCGAGACGACGGAAAGCAACTACGAGGTAGCGCTTCGAATGCTGGAGCAGAGGTGCAAAAACGATCGAGTCATCTTTCGAAAGTTTTTGTTATGAATTCACGGATTCACGGCAGTTCGGACGGTATATGTTTTTCAGCTTCAACAGTTAATCTCAGTTTTCAACGAGACCTTCGCAGTCTTTCAAGTTACTCAGTACCAAACGATTTGTGGCATTTCATTCTCTCCGAGAACCTCAATCCTGTATCTCAGAAGGCATGGGAAACAGCAAATGATGGGACTAAAGCTGTTAACTTCGATCAACTCATGGTTTTCTTAAACAATAGAGTCAGGTCTCTAGCGCTGGTTGAGAGATCTCAACGCAGACCCCATAAACCAGAGCGTGAGCAGCAGATTTTTTTGACAGAAAAGAACCGATCTCATAAGGAATGTTTCTATTTACCATAGTTTAAAGGTTAAACCTGCAAAGAGCGACATCCAATTTGGCAGTGTGCCAAATACAGATCAATAACAACATCAGAAAGAAAAAGTTTTGTGACCAGCAAAAGGATGAGCTTCAATTGCTTGTCTTTCAGTCATGGCATCCAGCAATGTCCTTCAACATCACCGTGCAAAACTTGTCAAAAAAAGCATCATACAACTTTTCATGGCAATTCTAATCAGCCCAGTCATCATCTCGCAGTGTCAATAGATGCTCGCCAACTCAACTGAACTGGAGCTATCACAGCTCTTCCAACAGCAAACGTCAAAGTTCGATCTAAGAACGGATGAATTCACACTCGTTGACTCAGTAACAATTGTGCTCAGACAACCGTCATCACCCTACAGGCCATGCAACGGCTTGACTTCAAACCAGCAGAAGCTCCAGATCGCACTATTGGAATGAACCAGAAGAACGCTATGTCTACCCATGGCCGACTGAATCTCACAATTCTATCAAAATCTGGTAACAATTTCAAAGTTTCTTGTGTGGTGTTGGAAAACATTCCGGATCACGAGCATCCAAACACCCAAATCGCAGCCACACACCTACGAAAGGTCAGCAACTACAACTTAGCAGATCCAGTTTTCGACAAGCCCAAGACAATTGATTTCCTGCTTGGACATTCCGTCTACACTCACATTGTGAAGTCACGGATTATCAAGGAAGGAACTATGCTGCTAGCCGACACGATCCTTGGTTGGACAGTCTTAGGTATCGCTGGGACCCATCACACAATCACAACACGAAGACACTCACCACGATATGGATTCAACTTCCTTGACAGCCCGTGCACCACATTTGACACCACATATTCCTTCATCTCCAGAATCCCAACACTCATCCAACGAGCTTTAGTGTATCCGAAAATTCGGTCAGACTACGACGTATGGCCCAGACGGAACAGCTATGTTGAGATCACTAATTAACAAATCAAAGGGGATCTATGACGAAACCATTCATGAATGGTTGCCCGATATTGGTCACTCAGCACGGAAAGGTTTCCGGTAATTCATTTCTAATGAAAAGAAGCTACGACAGAACTGTGAAGCCAAGAACCAATACAACTACTTCTCTCAGGAGATGATTGACACTGGCCATATTGAGAAGGTACGTGTGTCAGATCAATTTCTGCCAGTCGGCAAGTACTTGATCATGCCTCATCGTGCAGTTTGGAAGTCGGTCTCAACGATAACAAAGTGCAGAGCTGTTTTCAACAGATCAGCTCCAACTTCAAATGCAGCAGCCAGACCTGATCAACATCCTTGTCCGGTTTCGAATCTACAAAACTGCACTATCTGGTGACATCATCAAGATGTACAGGCAAATAGAACTACACCCCAAGACAGAAATATACATCAGCTCTACTGGAGAAGAGAAGAAGAGGATTCAATTGAGAAGTTACGGATGTCTCGTGCCATCTACGGAATACCTTCAAGTATTTTTCACGCCATACGAGTCTTGTCAGACATCGCCGACACAACGGAAGATGAACAGACAAAGCTAGCAATTCGCGAGTCCTTCTACGTGGACGATTACATTGGTGGTGCAGATACTGAGGAACAAGCCATCAGAATGCGCCAGACTCTCACGAATACTCTGGACAACGCCTGCCTGCCCATTCGGTAGTGGACAAGCAACAGCAAGGATGTCATGAACGGTATACCCAACAAATTGCATGAAAACCAAGAGTTATTCTTAGCAGGAAAAGACCACAGCGTCAAAACTCTTGGGCTCAATTGGCATCCAGTTTCTGATTGTTTCCAGTAACGGTGTATAGATTAATTGGATTCAATGAAACCTAAATGCATGCCCCAGAAAACCGCAAACCTTATCAAGCCAGCAAAATCTCGAGTGTTGTTTTTGATGCAACTCCATTTGTTGCCAAAAAGGTCAAAAAAGGGGCCAAGTTCAGCACCCAGATGACAAGGAAAGATGAACCTCTGGAAACCAGGACTTGGTGCATTTGGACTCCAGCAGATGCCCAATGAATCATCTAGATTTCTGCCAAGGATCGAAGTATTTAGAAGACAGATTCCACAAGGTCCCAATTAACACTCTGGTCAACTCGGGACGCTTGAAAAAGGCTGAAAAAGATATCAAAGAGCAATCAAACGGTGACATTCGCTTTTACCGTGATTGCCCCAACACGATTTCATATGAACCAGTGTCAAAAAAACTAAAACACTTTTCAAGTTTCGAGGTCGATTTAACCCAAAGAGTGGCCAACTATGAACAAAGTTTTCCGAACAAAAAAAAATCAAAAATTGAGAGCAAACAGGCTATCAACACACTTCACTGGCTTGCCCCATTGACAGGAATCATGCAGATGCCTCTTACAAAGATTTTTTGCAAAAATCACGCAGAATTCCTAGGAGCGATAATGTGGTGGACTTCGACGGAAGTTTTCAAAGCAAAAAATTCCAAAACCAACCCACCAAAAAGGGCAAAGACGCGTTTGGACCATGCCCCAAGATATTTCCAGACTGAAAACATCAAAAGTTTCATCCAAAGTTCTTCAACTAACAGAAAACACTAGCAGAACTCCACACAGCCTCCTCTGGTCCTAAATCGCACTAAAAAGAAAAGAAAGACATATAGAAACTCAACTACAATATTTGAGAGCAGCTCAATAGCTTTGCCCGAAAGAATTTGAACACATACAACCACTCGCCGGATGATAGCAAGCAACTTCGGACAATTTTTTTGATCTCCTTGGACTAATGACCTCTGTAAAGATAATACCGAAGATTCTATTCCAAAAAACTAGGGATCGTGATTTGAAGTATGATGATAATGTTGGGGCCTATATAGCGAACAAATTCCAACACTGGATAGATAGCTTAGGATTTTTGTCTTCCCTGGCAGTACCTTGTTACCTGTCCAAGGACAGCTTTCAGCAAGTCGATCTTCATCTCTTCTGCGATGCATCAGAGATGACTCATGGAGTGCCAGAACAACTTCAGAATCTACACTTCCTTGTTAGCCGCCAAATTACGACTTGCATCAAGGAAGACAGTTTGTATTCCAAGACTTGAGCTTTGTTCATTGTTTTTGGGTTACAAGCTCCTGAAATGCGTCTTGAAGTCGATCCAGACTTTGCAATTGGTGGTAGATGTCAGCGCCTGGAGTGATTCAACAATAGCTTTTGTTTGGATCAGATCAACTCCAAACACGAACTCTAATTTTGTGGCCAACCGTATTGCCAAAGTTCAACAGATGCTACCAGCCAACAAGTGGAAACACGTTTCGACTCATCAAAACCCAGGCGTCATGCAACGCGATCAGTAGCAGCAGCTGAATTACAAAATTTGCAGCTTGGGTAATCTGGGCCCTCTTGGTTGGATACAAAAGGAGTTTCTACTCCATCACAACCAACAAC